GGTGACCAACGATTGGTTCATACGTTTATTACTCCTTCTGGATCCTAAATTCTATGTCCTTTATTGATTTAGAGGTGCGGTTTCTCAAATTCATTTGGTGGAACCACAGTATCCATCAATGTGCTTAAAGAGCCAGACATTAGAATTTCCTCCTCTCAATTTTGTGAACCACAGTAGTTATGCCGTGAGAAGACAGTGAGTAAACATTTCCTGGCGGTAGTTGTATGCACTTGACCTGGTGAGAGCATTTGGAGAGAGAGTGAGAGAAATGACTCTCTCCACTGTCGGTCGTACCAGGGCATTTGGGGCCAAATTACTTGGATTATAATAAATCTGAACAGGTGATACTTCAAATGAAATCAACCTTTCTCAATCAAGTTAGAAAATCTGCAGAATTACTCTTTCTCTAAATCTGTGGTTCATTTCACAAATGCAGATATCGTAAAGTTATTATCTCATTATTTCGGATCTATCCCTTACTCATTAATGTGGTTCTATTGACTAAATAAAAGTAAAATGCTAAGGATTCGAATGTGTAGTTCAGTAGAGAAACATTCAAATGTTTAACAAGTAAATTGCCTGAACGTTTGTGGGTTCGAAACTCTCGGAGGGGGTGCGGAATCGTGGCTGCGCACTGCTGAGGAGTCCTATAGTAAGACGAAACGGCTGTCCAGTGCTTCCAGGTTTTCCATGGCGATCTAGCTTCAACTGGCTCATGATTTCAACTAGTGAGGTAAATTGCCATTGTTCTGCCTATAAGATTACAATTAATTTATAATTGATGTCATGTGATTCAAGTCGTTCTTAGTGCAGATCGAATTCTACTGACTAAGTTGCGACGTAACTATTATTCTAGGTGAGTTGACATTGTGTGCACTATGTTGAGATGAAATGGTGATTACAGGTGGTCAACAGGAAACCTTGAACCCAGCTTTCGTGCTATTTGGTATTCATTAGCAAGGTATACATGTAATCTTGAGAGATCTGATACTCCCTGATGGATTTGATCCCATGTCACTTAGCTATCTGGTTCGCGACTGACCTCCTGTAGGATCGAGATGTATTCAGAATTGAATAATCATTGGGTGGTAATCAATTGTTAAATAAGTTTGAATACTTTTGTCTTAGTACTACTGGCATGATCATACAACAGTATCTTGTGTAACTGCTTAGAGTATAAGATTATGAATGCTGGTCGTGTAACCAAGAGAAAACATTTTTGTTTGTTTGTTTAACGATCGATCCCTTGGTGATCATAATCGATTTAATTAAATTCCATCAATGAATCAATGAATGAATGAATGATCTTTGTTGATTTATTGATTAACTTTTATAGGTCAAAGGTTACAATTCTTATGTCATTATACGTATATCTACAACAGTTCGCTATAGAAGTCACGTTTAACAACTGACCTTATTTGAGTACTATAGTAAATACGGTTCGATTGAAATAACAGAGTTTAAGGGATAAATCAGACCAGATCAAATGAGGAATGTTTATTGATCATCATCATCATCATCATCATCATAAGAATAATAATAATTAACAGGCAGTGGACTGAACTTACAATACACAATTCGTGACCATAGAGTATTGTCCAGGATGAACATTACTAGTAACATCTGATCATTAGTTTATCATTTACTAACCTAAACTAATGCCCTAGATATTCGAACATAGGCCATTCATCATTATATGAGGTTAATAGGAGTGTGAATAAACTACTGAAATAGAAAGAATCGGTCATACAATTTAGTTATAAGTAGCATCAACAAATTAAATTGTAAGGAAGATTTGTTCAGTGAAGAGTTCTCATTTCAGCGGATTCATTTTCAATGTTGTACAATCGCAAATGAATATTTTTTCTGGTTAGCGTTTATTTTAGCGAGTTAGTGTTCTACAGGATGGGGTTGCTAACCCGATGCTCAACCCTCCTCCCTTAGCCGGGTTTGGGACCGGCAGTAGCCCCCGGAGGGATTTCAGGCTGGACGATAATAAACTTCTGTTAGATATGATGAGTAGAAACAGAGTATTGTAGAATAGAGTATGGCGAAAGGAGAGATAAACCAGTTGGTGTTAGAAGATAGAAGGTGAAACAGATGGTTGTAAAGGAAGAAAAGTATGAAGATTGCGAAGAATAAATTATAAGACATTAATATCATGGTAGAAGAAGAAATTGTACCAGTCACTTTTGCATATACAATTCTGATTTCCTCAAATGTATGGCTATTGCTTCGTCAATGCAACGAAGATGCAATCTAATTGTCTTTGGAAGACTTCTACTCAACTTGTAGATGACTATGAACGTTGAATCTGTGTTGATTGAGCGACCTCTGTGTTCACAAGGTGTTTGATTATTGAACTTCTTATTGAACCAATTCCTCCCCTTCTAAGCCTTGCCGGATAATGTGTGTTGAATTTTTTTAGATATAGTACTCATCGAACGACCTATATACCTAGCTCCACATGAGCAAGTAAATTGGTAAATGCACATCGAGTCGGCCAGACGCGATAATTTATCTTTAGGATTATTAGTGAACAATGATCGGCTAGAGAATACTATTCGCAGCGTTGATTCATTCACAAAGTCAATCTTCGAAAGTATCAAAATCTGAATGTATGTTCAATTGTTCCATCACAAGCAACATGGTGACGCTGATGTGATAATAAGAAGCATTTGAATTATGGTACAAGCCAGGAATCTCAGAAATAACACAATTTAACCAAGATGTATTAGATGAGCTCAAAATAATGTATTGAATTCGGAATTCGAAATCAGGAATTCATCAGGTACTGCGGATTCATTAATACATACAAACACCACAGGAAGAGCGGACAGCACATCATCAGAAGCACTGAGGTCAGAAATAGAAATAACTGGTTCACATTCTATTCAGGAATACTTGTGAAGAAGAACAAATGTCATAGGCAGACTGGCAAGAAGGTTACCTCATCATGATACAGAAGAAAGGACATTTGAGCAAAAAGAGAACTACAGAGGAATCACACTACTGTCAGTACCAGGAAACGTTGTCAATGGAGTGTTGTTGAACCAGATGAAAGGTTCAGGTTATGTCCAGCTTCGAGATTTTTAGACCAGATTCCATAAGAGTGGTTCATGCACAGACCGAATCTTGACAATACGGATTATCATTGAACAATTGGTTGCATAGAAACAGTCACTATGCATCAACATCCCTGACTATGAGAAAGTATATGTCAGCGTGGATAGGAGAACATTATGGAACTGTGTTTGACATTATGGATTGAGTAGGTGAGGAGATCGTCAATATCACACAGAATTCATGCGATGTAAAGGCGAGGATCTGCAAGGACGGCATTATCAACGTTGAAGAACATATAGTACTGAAAACAACTGTCAACTAATGTCAAAATCAGAATGTTCAATACGAACGTTAAGTCAGTGCTGAGTAGAGTACAGCTGATACATGCATTCCAAATGAGGACCGTAGTTGGAAAAGGCTGATCACTCCCCCCTTTATCTCTTCTGGTGGACTACTGGATTATCAAAATCTCGACATCCGAGTGGAATCCCGGAATACAATGGAGAGGTTTGATGCAACTAGACGCTTTGAAATCGGCAGATGGTCCAGGTCTTCTATCTCATACACACGAACATATGTGTCTCAAGACAGCCAGTATAGTAACAGCCTCTGTCTGTGTCAATAGGCCTCGCCATAAAGAAAGGATAATATGAGATCATGAAATAATCCACAGAGTGCTCCAACCTCATCACAGTTGATGGAGAGGCTGTGACAGTGGTGGGAACTTTCACATATCCGGGTAGTATCATTGGTGGACAAGGAAGATGGGATGCAGATGTAAAGGCGAGGATCTGCAAGGACGGCATTATCAACGTTGAAGAACATATAGTACTGAAAACAACTGTCAACTAATGTCAAAATCAGAATCTTCAATACGAACGTTAAGTCAGTTAGTTCTACTGTACGGAGCTGAAACCTGGAGTACTACCACAACAATCATCAACATGATACAAGTATTTATAAATGTTTTTCTACTCAGGGTACAAAATATTCATTGGCTAGAAATCAACAGAAACAACCTACTGTGAGAGAGAACAAAGCAGCTTCGATCTGAGGAGGAAATGAGGAAAATACGTTGGAGGTAGATAGGCTGTGCATTACGGAAATCATGAAACTATATTACGAGTCAATCCATAATTTGGAGTGATGAAGGGATAGGAAAGTTGGAAAACCTAGGAACGTATTGCGGAATCGGAAGCATACATCAAAATAATAAATGGCAACTGGAAATAAATTGAAGGGATTGCCTGAGACAAAGTTTGTTAGAGAATGCCGGTGAGTGGCTTATCTCATTCATGAGGTGTAACAGGCGTACGTAAGTTTATTAGTGCTAGTCCACATTGTACACATCAATAGATACCAATATACTATAAACGGTACGTCGCTCCCATAATTGAAGGAGCAAAAGGATTTGACAATAACAGTAAGTTATGACTTAAAAGTAACTGGACATTGCAATGTAGAAGCAACTAAATATTTTCGAACGTTGTGATCCTTTCTTCAAGCATTCAAATTCTTTGACAAAGAGATTTTATAGGTTCTATACTCCACCCTGTGTATATCTCCCAGGTAGCTGGTCCATATCTTACTTCGGATGCTGACAACCCCGAGTGTATGTAGCGTGTGATTCTCGAAACCCTATTCGGATAAGTGTTTTCAGCTATATCAGTGTAAAGTTTCAAAGGGAAGCTGGATTTTCTCTAGGAAACAATCTACAAGGATAAATATACAACATTCAGCCAAATGTCACCAACATTGAAAACTGAAAACATCACAAACCGAAAACAGATAACTGTTTAAAAAACAGGTATCCTTCGATGGTAGTTGGACCTTAATATGGTAACTTCTAAGCGGAACACATCCAGTCACAATGTGTTTATCTATGCATATTAACAAGTTGATATCAATACTCAATGCAAAATGTATTCAATTACCTTTTGTTAAAATATGAGTAGCTAATTTCACTTGTGAAAAATTACCTAAACCAATTGTATTCAATATACAATAGAGACCAAGTCCTTTGGATTTGGAATCGGTTATTCTATCCTCAACTGATGTATACTTGTTACTGATACTATTATTATTAGTATTATTATGATTCTGTTTTAAACCATCATCCAACTTTTCAGTTTGATTCTTCAATTGAAATGATTGTGGTTGATTCTTGGAATGTATCATACTAGTGAATAAATCACTGGTCATTTCACTATTGAATGTGTCAATATTCTCCTCTTTCCTTATTGATTTCGATAAAGAATTCAATGAAGTTGACAATAGATGAGATGTTGGTAAAACTGATGTTAATGAATGTGATGAATTGTTGAATAGCTCTACATCTTCAATTATATTTGGCTCAGAATGATGATTCAATAGTTGTAATGATGAACGGTGAATTGTTGTGACATCTTTGATCACATTATTAGTAGGCAATACACTATCCATAGATGTTGTCTTAACTGATTTTATGAAATCTAATTGTTTGTCATTGTTACAATTCATAGTGAGATAGTTTCCTTGATGGGATTTTCTTCTCTTCCATTTATCTATTATTGGATTTGTATTGTTCAATGCATGTATTGACTTCTTCTGTCTTTTATCTATTACTGGCACCATAGAATTCATAGATGGTGTATGGGTTGATGATATGGCAGCTTTTAATGGATTCTGAGAGTTATCAATGTTCATTGTTGACTGTCTACTTAGAATCAATTGTTTGATATGATCATGTTTAGTGAATTCATTATCTACATGAGTTTTCATTGAGTCTTCAGCTAGTTGTGTAAACTGTCTACCTAGTTTATCAATCGAATCATTTGGATGGTTCATTGAATATTGATCAACATTCCTGTGAAGTGATACAGTGAACCAATTGTATTTGTTTGCATTATCATTTATGTGATCCTCACTATTATTGTCATTATTATTAGAATGATTCTTATAATCAGTTCTCATGTTATCCTACTATTGGAATTCTGAATTTATTACTTTCTATCCTGAATGTGTTTGAGGCATGTTTATCCAGAAATTGGCATTGGTTACATATGGATACATTGAACGTAGTTACAAACAAAAGACTGGGCGTGAATAAACAATAACAAGCTATTCGAAATATGTCTCTGCATATATACAAATATATATATGTATGTATATACATATGCATACAGTAATTAGATTCGTCTGAATAACCAAGCCATTGTTGAGGTTGTTGGCTAAATATGAGTTTGGCTTGTTTAGTAAATACATGTCATGTGATCAGTAAATGAAAAGTATTCAGTGTATTGTAACACCCAAGTGTGATTATTTACCGTATTTCATTGTCACATAACATCATTTATAAACTGAATTATGATTGGATCATTACAATAACCAATCACATTGAAGGATTTTAAGAAAAATGGTTCAATTCAAAGGTCATTTCATAAATGACCATGATTGTTTTGTGATGAATTGAACCAGTTTCCTCTAATGTTATTCATTATCAATGAAAATGAAAACCTATTCTGATAGACAATTAAGTTTATAGTTTCTTACAATGCTTTCCGTTTATCAATTTCACTCAACCAAGAACAACTGACGATGTAGAAAATCATGAATTCAGTTCCAATTCGCGGTTTCTCGTCTGTTTCTTACAACATAAAGATAACAATTCCAAGCTTGTGTCATAACATTGAATGTGCTTTCATCAGTTTGTGAATAATGACAAGGGTTATATGTTTGGAGGAACTATAAGAGATATTTGCATAATAATAATAATATTAATGTGAATATTTATTGGTTGAATATAAAAATATTCCAGAATATTGACAGATCAGGTAAATTTCACTATACTAAATCAAACCAAACCAAATCAAATCAAGACAAATGCCCGCCTTACGTTACCTCAAATTGTGTTGATCAGTTTAAATGTACACATCAAACCATATAGTCCGATGAACAGAAAGGACTGTTTGTGTTCATCTCTTTGTAGTGTGACAAGTGAGTTAGATTCCTGATTAATTGTAGAATAGTTAGATTATGGTTGACAGACATAAGTAGTATGTGCCACCAGTCGGAAGTGGGGAATCTCGTGTCGGAAGGTCAAGAAGATCAAGTTGAATACAATAGAAGGGAAAATAGAAAGAAATAGTGAACTGGGAGAATCATTCACAATGTGGGGGACAAGTGATGGAAATTCACAAATGAAGTATTCAGTGTATGGTAGTGAAATTATATTAAGGAAATCTGTAGTTTTGTATTTAAATACAATCTGTTGTCCCCTACTTAAGTTCTTGATCATCACAAGTTTGATCCAGGTTCCATCTGAAGAAGAGACGAGGAAGAGACAGCGGAAGTTGATAAAACATACCTATAGATCACTGAACCGTAATTCAACGGTGTTGATTTCTAACTTTGGTCGATCGATCCGTCATCCTGTGCAACCATTCATCCATTGTTTGAAGTAGAAAAATATCTCACACTCGACACACATTGAACGCCACTGGTCACGGATTCTCACCAGAACCCCATGAAATCCATCTTGAATCTAGTCACTAATGGGAACAAGACGGTTATGAACAAATGTTGTAGGTTGTAAAGAATAACTAACCAGTGACATCTACTCACCATCCATGCAGTTATATATGTATACATAAATATATGACACAGATTATTTGAGTGATTCTTTTGATCAGTCACTAGATGAAGTTTTATCAAATGTATATTGACGATGAGTATTGACGTTTAGAAACGTTCAATCAATTGCTGGAGTCCATGTATGACTGGCGGATAATTTCTGGATTAAGACCTCTTTGTCACATTCCTGGTCAAAAACCACAATTGAGAGACTACACACAATCAGTTGATTTATTGTTGAACAGTCAAGTGTTGAATGTACTCTGAATGTACCCTGTTGAATACGTTTCCTGATACTGACAGTAAAGTGAATTACTTTACCTGTGATTGTTTTAGACTCTGGAATAATCTACCACGATCCATCCGTAAGATGAAATAACTCGCATCCTCTGCTCGCTGAATTGGTGCACACTGCTTCTCTGAGAATGCATTAAGCGTTCTCGCATGTGTAAGTGTATTTTACTCCACAAGTGAGAACAAAGGAGATTCAAATGTCTAGACATTCTTGCTACTAAATTCACTAAGTAAGATCACTTTCCAAGTGTTACTTTACGTGAACAGTGTCCCTCACAACCCTAACTAGTTTGAATTATATCTAACACGAACAGCATATCAATGAGTCACACGACCAATGCACTATGTTTGACCTGATTGACATATTTTAGTAATTCTTGCTTTGCTGTTCCATGCTCTCTGTTTCCGTTTTACTTTCTCTAGTTGTAAATGATTATAATGAATTTGTTGTGGCACACAAAATGACCTTCAATGCACTATTCATAAATCAACAGAATGTGCACTTATAAAGAATCAAAAGTTGTCGGCTGATGCAGTGCATTCCTATACTACATCTTATAATTGTACTACCTAAACAATTTTTGAACTAGTGAAGTTGAAACAATCTTAAATCACATGTTTGTTTTCTATATTTTATGTTACTATTTATAATATCAGACCGATGATGCCTGTGAACTGGTGTGAATTCTGTGTGTTTATTGAAATCGTGTTGGTTATTGATGTGTTCACTGCAGTTTTCCGAAATGATTGTACACCTTTGAATACATTGATGAGGAGAGATTTGAAATAGGTCTATTATGGGAGTAATATTGTTATCGCAGTAGACGGAAATTTTACAGTAATGGTAGTTGTAGTAGTCGCAGTAGTCGTAGTATTGGTAGTAGTAGTCGTAGTCGTAGTAGTAGTTGTAGGGTCAGTTGCAATATGTATAATACAAATCTGAAGTGATATATATTTATTTGGAAACATCTCGTTACCATCACCAACAAACTCTCGACTAATGAACTACCGATTCATTCCCTCCTCCTCTCACTTACACATACATCAAAACAGAACAGCACAACTCAATCGGCATACTGCGCAGTCGATCAAACGGAAAGTCGACTAGTGCATTTAATGATATGCAAGTTTAACTGAAGCACCCACAAACAAAAGCACACTCCGGACAAACGAATCTGGATGGTGAGTAGTGAAAATTGAACTTGACATGTCAATAATGCAATCAACGGTAATGTGAAATTGTTGACACAGCTTTCCTTAAATTGTTTATAATATTTCGAAAGTTAAGCAAATCAAGTTGACCGTGCCATAGTACAAACATTGTGGTAATGTCACAGCTAGCCACTAGAACATTCATTTTGAATTTGATTTATACAAATTAGAATGTCATGCGAGTTATTTGTATAAATACGACAGAGTCTTAAAGGCTACAGTTAACATGGTTTTACTCTGTATATCGATTGTCTGTTTGCTAGCGATGTTTTAAATGAGACAGATAGCAAGTGCAATAAAAGTAATCAAAATCTTTGCATACTTGTATTGATAATGAATTGATGTCTGTTCACAATACAAAATGAAGTACATTCGTAGTACAGTCTAGCGAACAATCCATTGAATCATTACATTTTCATCAGTCATGCTTCAAATCACATTCATTCAACCATGACGTACTCTTCACACAAATCTCCAATTCTAACAATATTACAACCTAATTTTGATCGTTCATCGCTTATTCTCAACACTGACCTCCATTCTTGCAAGTCAACATCACCTGATCAGACACATAGAGTAAACTGAACTGATCGATCACCAGATGCTGGATATACCCAATCATAATGTCACTCTGTTGAAGAAATTGTGCTCTCCATCGTTATCGCACGGTGTATAACATACAAAGTACTAATCCATTAACGGATCAAGGCCATAGGTACATACTGCGTTCAATGAATAAACAAATTATGACCAACCACAAACGTGTGTGTCAACGTGTTATTGTCTGTGTCGATCAGTGTCATTTGGACAGTATGAGTATATAAGCATCGATGTGATAGTGGATTTGGTATTTTATTGTAGTCGAGGAAGAGATTCACCAGTTCCTTCATCTGACGTGAGAACAATCTGTGTGACAATGAGATATATCAAGATGCTCATGATGATGCTTATGGTACACATCACAATGATTCAGTTCATTGAGTCAGTTGTTGATAGCTCCAGTGGCGTGAAAAGTAAGTAGATATCTTAATATCAGGTTGCCATAACGGTAAGTTAGTAACTAGCGATACATAGCTAAATAACGATTTCTCTCTTATTGGATCTACAGAAAGAAAGAAGGAGAATGGAAGAATACACCATGCCGATGTCAAAGTGGGAAGAGATGGAGCATTTGATGCTAATGACGATCAAATACATCCCGAAGTTGATGATCATCTTCCTAATCCTGATGACCCTCGTTTACGTTTGGAACCTCCCATTGGTGTCGCTATTCCTCAACCTCCCGCATTTCACGGTCATCCTCCAAAAACTGGCGCCATTCCTCAACCTCCCGCATTTCAACATCGTCTTCCAAACACTGGCGCCCATCCTCGACATTCCCCTCGTCACCACCGTTTTCGGAATGCCAGATATTTACCTTAAATCTCGTGATGTTGACGGCGAACGTGAAACGATCGAATGAACATTCTGTTTATTTAAAGTTTGCTTCTGCACATTATTATCTTGGCCGATGGTGTTCTGAATTACATTTCTATTCCATTTTATTCTTTTTAATTAATTCATTTTAAACAATAATTTAATAAAGATATTTGTTATAAAATGTGAACACTTTTTCCTCCATCCACCGTTGTTTTGAATGAGTCAATAATTGATGGCTTAATAGGTAGGTTTGATTACAATTGATGCACACACTGATCGTTTTGCACTAGGAAACATCTACACACAACAACCATGCATATTCAATTTGATTTATACACAGCATATCGTCGTCCGAATTCTCGATCACGGTTGACCGAAGACAGGAAGTGTTTGGGCCATGTAAGAATTGTTCAATGCAGTAGTGAGTGAGCTGAGCAATGTATGCATCTCACAATTTAAGTGAGACTTAATGTTCTTCGAGAAAGATATTCACAGTATTGAAGTTCCGAATGAGTAGAAATCACCTCCGACGTTGAAGAAACAAATGTTCCATTGCGTACGGTTTTCGTGTCACCGAATTTCACTAGCAGAAAACAGCGATTGTCGTAGTGTTGCGAATACTTGAACACGTGTGTCAAAATACCTGAATGTGACTGATAATGCGCATAAAGTTGAGTTGAATGATAACACACATTGCAGTGTAAACTACTAAACCATGATATCAT